ATGATTTGTAACAATACATATACTAGTAATATTGATTTGATCAACATATCTCAATGTTCAACCCCCAAAATATGTATAATCAATTTTGATTCAATAAATAAAATAAATTTAAAAAAATAAAAAAATAAAAAATAAAATAAAATAATAAATAAATAAATAAAATTGTATTTTAATGAACATTTACTTATTTGTTTTAAAGCTTCTGTCATCCTTCAAATCAAACATTTATATATTAATATATTTCAGCCTGGTAAGAACTAGAAAAAAAGTCTTCAGGACTCAACAGGCTCACAGTTCTTACCAAACGTTCAGAGGGTTCATTCTGAATGGCCAAGGCTGCCTATCCAGGGGAAAAACCTGTGCACTGAAGCCTACACATCAAAACGATCTTGGGAGTAGAGCTGGTCATTTAGCTCAGTTGGTAAGAGCACGGTATTGGTAATACCCAAGTCAAGGGTTCAAATCCCCTTACTGGCCAGCCACCAAAAAACAACAAAACTTAGGGGAGATTCTGCTTTAATTGGTTTGAGAGAGGGCCTTGTCTCTTTTACCTGCCTATAATCCTGCTGACTGGGCAAATTGTTGAGCTAGGGCTGGGTCTGGAGCTCGCAGACCCCTCAAACCCATTCACAGACTGGGTCACAAACCCTTCACATGCCAGGCTAGGTCCCCAGACCACTCACACGAAGCCCTAGGTTGGAGAGCATGGCCACATGTGGCAAACGCCTGAGGCAGATGCCAGCCGAGGCAGATGCCAGCCAAGCCGCAATGCTGCGCATACACACTAACTCCACCCACACACAATCTATTCACAAAGTATGTGCTGCACAACCCCAACCTGCCCCAAGGTGAAGGGTGCCTGATTAAATTATTCTATTTTCCTAACAGGCCTGGACATCAATTTTTTTTTAAAGCTCTCCAGGTGATTCTAATGTGTTGTCATCATGGGGAGCCCTTGACCAGAGCAGTATCACTTTTACCAGGAAGTGAATAAAATAAGCAACAATTGCTCAAAAAGGGTGAGAAAGTCCTCAGTCCTTAAAGTGGGGCCAACAGAGAGCAAGAAATTGTTTTCCCCATAACACTCTCTCACTTGTCCCTTGGCTCATGGCCCCAGCATCTCCAACCTGTACTGGAAGACCCACACAAAACACTTGGCTCATAAGAGTGAGGTAGGAAATGGCCATTGACGCACACTGGCCTTGCAGGGCCTCACCTACACCATCCCAACCACAGGTAACATTTTATTACACAGTTGCAAGCAAGGACCTTCTTATTCAGTGGTCAAAAACAAAACAAGAAAGCTATACTATTTTCAGCATTAAGACCAAAGAAGGATGATCTTCTCCCTCTATTCCAGACAGAAACAGAAAGTTAAATGGTTCTCAGAGGAGAGCTGGGGGGTCAGAGGCAGCAGCCACTATGCTGGAGGGGAAGTGAAAGAGGCTCTGGCCAACTCTGCCAGGAGCCACTTCATGCCATCCTTGGGTGTTCTTACCAGGCTGGAGAAAAGTTGTCAAAGAAGGGGGAAATTGGCCCTTCACACCTGGCCTATATGCAGCTGGGGATGATGAGAGCAGGGTCTGATACTGGCATCTATGTGGATGCCTGCAGATACTGTATACACAATGTGTGTGTGTTTCTAAGGGAAAAGGTTTCTGTTTTTCATCAGCTTCCCCAAGATTAAGGATGAAAAGTGGCCTTGAGCAATGTCCACTCTAAGCTGAACACCTACCTGTCACCTGCACAACCTGCCCTGTCAGATTTTTCATCTGAAAGTAGCAGGGCAAAGCCTCAGCAAATTACAGAATTGGGTGACATCTGTGCTCTGTGCTCAGCCTCTGTCTGTCCAGAGATCCTGCTCAGGCGTGTAGCTTTCCCATGTTCAGATGGCCTGAGCACAGCTAATTGTCACTAGCTTTGTCCTCCACTCCAGCTTGGGGATTTCCTCCCTGTCTTAGCACAGGGGCTCTCTTTGCTTCCCTACACCTCTATTCTTCCCTTCTGCCCTTTTGCTCCCAGACCTGGATCCATTTTTCCCTGTTTCTACACAGGCCCTTGACCCTCAAAGCTCAGTAACCATGAACTCCTTGCTCCTGGTTACCATACTAACTTGTCACCCTCAGCATTCAGGCTGATCTTCCAAAGCAGTGGGCAAAGGGACAGTGCAGCTCAGCTTCTCCTCCCTGGGAGCAGAGTCCAGGCCTTGTCATTAACCAATACATGTTTAAGAAAAGTCCATGAGGAAGCTACATTATTTTAAATGAGAAAGTCATTAGCATTGACTTTGTTTATTGATGCTGCACTATACCAAAAATAAGAGAACACTCTCCAACTAGTTTTAGCTGTGGAAAAAAAGATCCTAGTTTCTCTCATTTATATAAATTGCTTATTATGCATGTCTAATTTCCATGTAGTACAATAACGGTGTGTGGATCATTAAGTGAGTCAGTTGCCTTTTGTTTCAAAGGTGAAACTCTCTATTCAGGTATGTTCAGTCTTGAAAGTTCGCTGATCCTGCGGTAGGGCTGTCTGCTTTCAATTTAGGGGGGAAAATCATTAGAAGAGAATGTTGACTTAGACCTGGAAGCCAGGAGCAGAGAGGAGCCTAACAGGCCAGAGCCCTCTGCATCCTTCATGATTAACTGTATGACCTTTGGCAGAGCAATTTACCTCTCTGGGCTTCCTCTCCTTTTCCCCAGGATGGGGAGTACTGGGTACTGGTTTTCCATTTTTTCTTTAAGCAGTAGTCCTTTCCTTTTTTTCTAAATGAATCATAGGCAGAAGCCCAAAATAGAAAGCAGGTGAAAAAACAGCTGCCTATAGCTGCCTTTGAGGTATCCCCACAGAACCCCGGGGTTCCAGTTCATCCTATGAACAAGGACTTTCTAAGAAAGGGGCAGAGCTGGCAAGCACCCCTGTGAAATTCTCACAGCTTTGGAGGGAGGGCCCAGAGTAACGCCTACATGGTGGAAGGAGGCATCCTACCAGCATTGCCAGTGTACCTGGAGGTTAAACTGAAGGACCCCGCAAGAACAGGTGAAGGGAAACATTTTATTGAACTTCTGAAGGTAGTGGATACTGGAAGTGCATACTGGGAGTTCTTTCACATTCAAAAAAACTCAGTCCAAGTGATTTTGTTTCAAATCTGCCTCTCCTGATTGTTGATGAGGATTCAATGAATTGACTCATTTATGTCATAATTTCAAAAGAGGCCGTTTGGAGACCTGTGGTTCCCCAAGCTCTAAAATACTGAGGCATTTGTCCTAATGACACAGCAGACTCTGAACTCTGGAATACCACAGGAATATCACACCACTGCAAATTACTAGGTGGTGCTGAGTCTTCAAAAAAACGGAAGTAAAACAAAAGCTTTGCACTGTTTTTGAGATGCATATTTGATATGTACTAATCAAATAGTTTTTGAGATTATTTTCCTGGAGTCAGATTATTCTGCACAGTTACACAGCCCTTAAATTTTCCCCTTTGTTGTATATATCTATGTATAAACACACAGCTTATATAGTGGGCTATTTTCTCAATCACTGAAGCTTCTAAAGACAAGGCCTTTTTGTCATGGGTAAGTGCAGGACCAGTCAACCTTACAAAAGGAGTCATTTAATGCTCAATTTTCTCAACTTTCCTATGATTAAAAACTTCTAACCTCAAATGCTGTTATTGTACTGTAGATTGTTTTCTTTCCCCCTCCCCCAACAAATGTTTAAGTTGTCTCTACTCTGCTAGATTCTTCTTTTTTCAATCTGACCAAAACAGAGGAACTCTCCTTTTCTTTTACCCTAAACTATTTTAAAATCGAGGCCCTCTGACCTTTTTTACAACACTCTTCTTGTCTGACACACCAAATGCTAATCTGAAAGCCAAGAAGAGGTAAAGGGTGTGTGTGTGTCGGGGGCGGGGGGGGGGGGTGTGTGTGGTTGGAAACAGGGGTAGGGGG